TATATATATATATATAAAAGTATAAGAAAAAAATTACTGTACAAGGGATCCCAGCTCACTGGTGATTAAAAAGATAAAAGAGTTGTCTGTCTGTGTGTCTGTCTTACAAAAACTAGCAGCATCTGCTTCCTCTAAAACCTGAAGAAACCAGAAGCATTTTGACGTTTCTGGAATATTTTGATGCAGTCAGAGCATTGAACTCAATCTTCCAACAATGGCATACACAGGCACCGCCGAATTCCTGGAATATCAGCGGCGAACCATGCACTGGAACTGCTCTTAGCCAAGATGATTCCAACATTAATCCGGCCATCATGTGCGATTGCTCCTTCAACAATGCTACTACCTGTCACATCACCGGACTGTACTCTCTCCATCTCTTGCTGCTCCGGCGAACGCATTCATTTCTCTTTCGAACTTTTGATCGGTTGCGGAATTGCACACTAACTGTTTGTTCATTTTCACAGGAGAGTGGTTGCACTGGACATACGAGGGGTGTTACCAGAGGAGCTTTTGGCTCTCAAATTCTTAACCTCTCTGTATAATTTCTCTTTTTCTTTTGCTCGTAGAAAATGACATTTTATCATTTTCCTGTAGAGTTTTTAAAAGTACTGAATTGTTCATATATTGTTTGATGATGCAGGAACATCAGTAAAAATTACTTCACCGGTCCCTTGCCGGCATGGATTGGGAATTTATCTACACTGCAGTTGTTGTAAGTATGGATTCTGGTGGACTTTGTGAAAGAATTTTACTTTATTTTAATATATAGCATTTGTCAAAACTTCTGAAACTTCCGTGTAGTTTTTCTGATTTTTTGTTCCCGTGTATCGATCTGCCAATTCCATCTTACCAACCTTATTAAAAAGGAGATTGACCCTTGATTATGAAGCTAAACCATTGAAGTGCTAAAGATCTTCAACTCTGTGAAGTGAAGCACTTTGTATTTACTTCAGTGTCTGATTTTATATGCCAGCATTAAAAACCATCATTTACACTGATTACCATCAATACATCTCACTTATTTTCTGATTGTGGTGATCATGCCTATTCTGTGGGTGAAACTCATTGATTTTGGTGTGTTATTTTTGCTAATTCTTATTTGAGAAGCCACTAGTAATTTTGTGTATTATGTTTTTTGTGTCAAGGTCTATTGCCTACAATGCATTCTCTGGGCCCATTCCTAAGGAGCTTGGAAATCTTAAGGAGCTAACTGTGCTGTAAGATTTGAAGAAATTCTACCTTTGTCATTGTAATGCATCAATTTATTTTTATTTTTATTTAGTTTTTATCTGCCTTTGTAATGCATCAAATGGTTCTGTTCTATCACACACATGTAGCCTCTAAGTTACATTATGCACAAGTTTGGTCCTTGGTGATTATGAAAGTGCCTTTATTATAAAATGAAAAATCAATTCAATATTATGTTGAGAGGATCTGAAAGTCTGGAGAGAATTTGCTTTTGAAGGGTGAGACAGCCACAACTATAATATGTAAAA